TTGTTACGATTGTTTTTGTATACATCATGGATTGTACCATTTGGTATCATATGGGTACAATTAATATTATACATATCGTAGATTGGTACATTTACTTTTGTTCTTCAACGTTGTTTACTAGTACGTTTATTTCCAGTTTTAGTAGGTTTGTTTTCATACATATTTTTATTGGTACATTTGTATTATTCTTGATGTTATTTCTTATATGAATTACTAAAAAAATTATATATGGATTACTACAAATATCTTAAATGGTATTTTATTTCTTCATTGAAAGGGAAAAAAGAAAAAGAAAAAAAAACAAACAAACAAACGGCAGTGTATTTTATTCCTTTATAAAGTGTAGATAATCATTTTTTTTTTTGGTATAATTATCTTTAGAGGAAATCAAAGGAGCTAGATTGTAGGAAATTTGTTTCAATATCTCTCCACTTTTTTCCTGAGGTGAAGAATTTAGGCAATGGTAAGATCTGTAATTTTGGTACAAATAAAGGATAGTTATGATAGATGAAACTCCAAATTTGTAGGAAAAATGTTTAGTCTATAGAGTTGAAAACTCAGGCATTTATATCAAAAAGTTCCAATCAAATTTGAGTTCAAAAGAATAAGCACGCAACTTTAACTCATTTGAGCGAGTTAGCTTAGTTTGTTTTAGATGCCTAACTCTAACTCATTTGAGCTATTGACAAATTCGATAGCATTGCTCATCTTCAACAAAAGAAAAAATAAGATAATATTTTTGGAAATAGAAGATGAAAGTGAGAAGAAAATATAAGAGCTTGTTTGGATGTGCTTTGAAAATGATTGAAATCGTTTTTGGTGAAAATATTTCTGGAAAATCACTTAAAGTGTTTCTAGAAGAAGCACATAACTGGTGCTTCTCGTAGAAAGTACTTAAAGTGCTTTTGGAATCCAAAAACATTTTCTCTAAAAACGCTTTCAATCATTTTAAAAGCACATCCCATAAATTTGGTTTCTTTTATTGCAAATTTCTTTATTCCTCAATTTTTTTATTTTTTTTATTTTTTTTTTATTTTTTGTAAACGGCCCAGTATTGTTTTAAGGCTTTTTTTTATTTTTTTATTCTACTGCAATTGAACTAGTGTGTGTGTGTGTATATATTATATATTGAGATGACCTAACCTCTCCAAGGTTGTGATTGTCCTTTTCAAATTAACTTTAACGTTTCCAATTAACAACTTGTTGTTTATGCACTTAATTAGTACTTAACGGGATCCCAGAAACCGACTGATATGGGATTATACACTCTCATGCCAAAACAAGCCAACAAAGAATCTAAACAAAACGAAAAAAGTTGGAGAACGGTATCCGGTAGTTAATTAGCCATTGTGTTCGGTTTAACTGTTAGTCTGATGGTAACATGATTGTTAAGTAATCATGCGTTTGATTGTTTGATTCTCTTAGCGTTTATACATAGATTTAGGGATATCCGTTTGGGAAGTAAGAAGTTCTCTTGACATCTTTTCATCTGCAAAGAATTTTTTATGTGAAAACACAGGCTGATCTTTGAATAAGAAAAATAATGGATTCAGAGGATCTCAAATGAATTGGCTTATTCGAAAAGAGCCTTGTTCTTTGGAAGATCTATCTCGTGTCTGGTACTGCATGGTTTCATGCGTTTGATGGTTTGATCGTGTTAGAAGAAATACTTAATTACATTATGTGTAAGATCGACTACAACTTGATGGATTTCTAGAAATCTTTCTTTTTAGATTGCTATTTAAAGATAAAGATGAATAATACCTTAACTGTAAAGGGTCGAGCAATTTTGGTACGTTAATATTGCTTGTATTGATATGACCAAATGTTTGTATTTAAGTTGAGAGTATTCATACCAAACATTAACTTTGATCCTATAGTTTATTGAAGCACTATTGTGCAAGGGTGTCGATCAAGCATAAGAACAACAACCAGGGTTTCGTATAAAATAAACGGGAAATGTGATCTGCAGCCTCTCTAAAGAAGCAACAGTGGAGATATGAATCTTAAGAGAGAGCGCCACATGTCCAGGTTAATAATGCAGTCCAACTACGGTTTGGCTGTCTCAAGTAAACATATTATTTCTTTTTACAAAAGAAATCTTTTGAGAAAGAGGCATTCATTTATATATATATATATATATATATATATATATATATGTAGCCTTCACTTTCTTTTGTTCTTTATACATTCGAAAGTTGGACCTCCTGCATTTTTGTTTGAATTTCGTGTTTTTATAAGCAGAAGGTGGAACATTACACATTTGTTAATTTTATCTCTCACACACACTTTACTTTTTTTTTTTTCCTCGTGTTTTTACCAAAGACTGCCTTATCTTTCTTACAAAATGGTTCTTTTAGAGCAGTTACCACCCCACCCCTTTTTCTCGGGCAATTGGGCAATTTTTTGCCCAAAATTTTTTTTGAAAAAGAAAAAAACTCCAGCCCATTGAAAGAAGTCGGAAAAAACGTGGGCACAAGCCTGCCAGACGAAGCAGTCAAGTAATTTTCACCCAACAGCGCTCGAGTGATGTGAAGTCATGCTAACGTCAGCCATGCTCAAAAATTTACATGTGAGTTTGCGAGGGTGCAGTAGCAGGAGGCGGTGTTTGGGAGGCGACAGGGGCGGAGATGGGTTTACAAGGGTGTTGGGTGTTGGGTGAGTTGCTCCCAGAGACTGGATGCGTAGACATAGGGAGAGGGAGAGGGAGAGGGAGAGGAAGAGGAAGAGGGGAGAAAAAGAGTTTGAAGATGCACTTATGCAATTACTATTCATTAAGGCAATAATTGCATATTGCTAATCACCTGGGCAATTATTGCCCTAAGGGAGGAATTGCTCTTAGGCTTGCACGATCCCTTTTATGTATAACTTTTTCCTTCTGATATTAAAATTTTATGTTGTCTTAAGAGCATGAATTCATCAAATGGAAAAAGAAAATCTCGCCGTAAGGCTTAACAATTTTGATTCGAAAAATATTCTAATTCAATTTAAATTAAGTTAAAGGAACAAAGAATCAAATCTGTGTGTAAAAGAATAAGCACATAGCTCTAACTCATTTAACTTCACCACATTACTCTAACTAATTTGGTTACATTCACGTCTTAGTTAGCTTTAGGTTGCTTTAGATGCCTACTTTCTCTCTGTTGGGCCTTTAAGCTTTCTCTTGTTTGTATTTTTGACAAATTCGATAGCATTACTCATTTTCGACAAAAGATAATATACAGTAATGCAACTTTATTTTTCATACCAAATTCGTACACCTCTTTAGTAGAGGTAAGTCTTATCAATACATGTGGTTCTAATCAGCTATTAGAGAGAGATTATAAATGTAGTAAGAGTAGCTTTTTTTTATATTTGAAATAGAAGATGGAAGTGCGACCAAAATATAAAGGGTGATGCTATCCACATTCTCATTTTTACCTCTCACACACTATTCACAATTTCCGACACTTCAGATCAAATGAATTGAAGAAGACTAATGGACAAAAAGTAACAAGAATGTGTGGGAGGTAAAAATGAGTATGAGTAGCACTATCCAATATAAATTGGGTTCTTTTATTACAATTTCTTTATTCCTCAACTTTTTTGTAAGGCCCAATATTGCTTTTAGGCCTTTTTTTCCTTCTACTGTAATTGGACTACTCAAGGCTGTCCAACTTTTGAAAGCGGGCCTAGTAACAATTTAACGAACAATATTGGATTCTTTTGTTTGCAATTTTCATTTTTTCACTCCATTCAAGGTTTCGATTTCGAGTGGGGATTCTCGCTGGATCCTCTTTGTGAGGATCCCGGGAATCCTCAAATCATATTCATTTATTGTACATCGTGCGGACATAAATCCTTGTAAATTTTTTATTTAAAATTAAATATAAACAATATCTGACGAAAATTGGTCGTACGATGCATGATGAACGAATATGATTGAAGGATCCCCGGGATCCTCACAAAGAGGATCCGGCGAGGATCCTCTCTCTTCGATTTCGTCCCTAATCACTTGTATCGGTTCTCTTAGATGTGCCATGGATGGGTTTTGTTCCATGTCCGCGGATTTGCCTATGCAATCGTGCATAGGATTAGCCAAGTTGGCCTTAAATTTTGATTTTGATTTTGATTTTGATTATTGTTGGATGGAGGAGCCTCGAGATTAATTTAGAATGTCTCCTTGAAGACTGTTTGCTTTCATAAAGTTATTGGGTCAATTAGCAATTTATGCTTTTAAAGACACGCTCACAATTCATGTTGAATCCAATCAAAATTGATGTAATAGCTTTGAATATATATATAGATGAAATTAGCAGTTTTTAATGAACTTAAGAACTTATTTACAGAAAAAGTAGTTTTGAAACCTAAATTTCACTCAATGGTAATTCAGGACTAAATTAGCAGTTCACAAAAAAATCCAATGCACCTAAAAGCCAAATGTACGAAAAATCTAAATGCAGCAATAAGCCAAATGAAGTTTGAACATTATATTCATTAAAATAGGTATTACAATAAACAATAAAAAATATATATGAAATCACTATAAATAAGGAGAAATTTTTCTTTGTGACCAGAACACAATGGTACATCACGTGTTTTTATATAAGTGGTGAAATTTTTTAATATTTAAGTTATTAACTTTTTAACACACATATCCCACCATTTGTATAATGACACGAAGTGTGCCACCCTGTGTTTATGTCACATTAAAAAATCTCTTGTAAATAAGAGATGCATAATAAATTCATCTGTACAGGATTAATAGGAAATAAAAAAGACAATAAAGAAGTAATGTGAAAATTTTAAACTTCTAATAAAATGAAATTAAAAAAATTAATCACCTAAAAAATGTTTAATCAAATTTTAAAAGGAAATGTTTAGTCTAAAAAAAATTAAAAAATGAAGCGCCTATATCAAAACATTCAGAGAAAAAAAAACACACACAAGATTGTTTATAAAGGAAAGCTAACCTGGGTACAAGTCAAAATAATGGCCAAAAATGCTAAAAATCCCCCAAATTGAATCACCCAAAACGTCAAATTTAACCATTCGATTTCAAGAAGTGAGCAACTCACTTTACTTTCTAATCAAAATCCAAGCATATTTTCTAGGTATATAGAATGCAAATCAAATTAAAAAAAATAATGAAATGAACCAAAAAATGACATTAATCAACTCCCTCGTGCCACACGACGCATCCAAATTCCAAATGCAGGTTGCAGGAGCCCTTGCTAAAACAGTGTCCGTAGCTCTTCCCTTCTCACCCCAGAAACCTTCTAGTATTCACAATCTTCAAATAGCATAAACGTAACGTATTGTATTTACATTATTGTCAACAGTGAGATCCATCGTTAGCAGTCATAAAGAAACTCCGCCCAGAACTCTTTTCAGATCAAATTTCTGTTCTGTGGTAAGCCTTGAAGGATACTTGACATCAAACTTGATTCTCAAATTTCCCTTTTTTCCAGGTTCTTTTGAGATCGGCATTCCCTCATTTGGTACCACCATTTCAGCTCCGGGTTTGATGATATCAGTCAACGGGATCATGAGATTCCGTCCATCTAGGGTGGTAAGGTCAAGAGTCTTGCCGGTGAGTGCCTCCAGCAGTGTTATCTCCTGGTTGACCACCAGGTCATTACTGTCCCTCTTGTAAAGTGCGTGTGGTTTCTCGTCTACAATAAAAATTAGATCCGCCGGAATCACACCTTGCTCTTGGTTACCCTTCTCAGGGAAGGTGATCTTTGTGCCCTTCTTCCAACCTGGTTTGATCTCAATGGTCAAAATCTCCTCCACAGTCCAAACCTTACTGCAAGAGAATTACTCATGCATCAGGACAAAGTTAACAAAAGCCGAATGCTTGCTTAAAAAAAAAAAAAAAAAAGATTCTGCCATCACCAGCTTTACTTCTCTAATCGCATTACAGGGGTTTAGTAGTTTTCTCTTTTAGTACAAGATTGCTAATATAACATGAATAACACATCGACCTTTCCTCAAACAGCAACATCAAGGCTTAACTAGATAATTGCAGATATGACTGATATAGTAATTTGTAGTCACAATTGCAAGATGCTCCAAACATCTAATTACATAAGCAAGCCAAAGTAGCTCTTGATCTTGCAGATCAAATACTCAGTAAGATAGAAAAGTAGGAAAGATAAGAGATAAAGAATGCGGCTATAGACGTAAACACTGAACACAAGGCTTATTTTATACAACCAACCCACAAACTAGCCAACACAGAACGCAAATACACACGTCATGGTAATGAATGATAACTCTCACCCCTTGAGATAGTCTTGGGGTCAATTCATGGGAAGTGGGATTCAAGGAGGAGCGAGGCTGCCCATGATTATTACCCTACTGCCTATCATAAAGCATACACCGAACTTATGAGTTATGAGATTAAACAACAACTTATTGCCTTCATTAGCACTATGATTATCTTTCAATGTCCAACTGTAAAAAGCATTCCTAAACCTTGTATTCTAAGGTGCCACAACTCATACCTAGAGTCTAGACTAGCAGGACCAATTCTACTTAGAACACACACAAAAATTATAATCCAAATCAAACCTGCCCCTGAGAAACCTACCTTATCATCTAGGAATTAGAATTGCAGACTTTTCTGCCAATCACCCGCCAATCACAAACATATCTGGAAGGTGTTCCATTTACTAATTTCCCACCACAAAACCAACTCAATATACTAAACCAACAAGTTTCCAAGTTGTTCATGCTAAATTTGATTTAACGAGTGCCTTTACGTGACTATATATGCGGCATACAAAGCCAAATGTGAAAACCACACAATACACTTGTTTACACTTCATTACTGCTAGTTTTCCACTCAACTTATGAAAGATTAATACAAATGTCATACATTATTCAAAACATTTCGCAATCGGGTAACCTATCAAAGGGAAAGATTAAGGCTTGACTAACAACACTAACATTTCTAAAGAAAGAAAGACTAACCAAATACCAATTGGCATTGCAAATATAAGTAAACAACAAGAACAAGATAAAGATTGGGGCTTTTGCTTGAAATTAAAGAAAATAAAGAATTGGGAAATGAAAGATTGATAGTGCAGTAGAGTAAAATTACCCAGCACCAACGGCATCGTAGATGTTTCTGGAAATCTTCATCTTCTTCTTGACACCCTTATAGAGCTCCTCCAAGCTGCAGGGCAACAAATTCTCAACCGCATTGGCCTTCCTCGCAGGCGCAGCCCTATTGGGTCCCGCAAACTCTGGCCCACCACCATTGGACGTCCTAAAGAACCCATCTCTATACCTCCCTCCGCCCCCAACCCCGCCTCCGTCGCCTTCGGATCCAAAAATCTCGGCGTAAATGTCGTCGGCGTCCCTGGGACTGAACGTGAACGCCGAAGTATTCGGGTGTGCGTGGCGCTGGTGGTTGTGATTGGCGTAGTAGTGGTGGCCCGAAGCGGCGGAGGAGCGGGCGGAGGAGGAAAAAGAGGGAGGCGGAAGTTGCCCCGATTTCAGAGCCTCCTCGCCGTAGAGGTCGTAGATCTGGCGCTTGGCGGGGTCGCTGAGGACGTCGTAGGCCTCGGAGATTTGCTTGAACTTGGCCTCCGCCTCCGGCCGCTTCCCGGCGGGGTTCTTGTCCGGGTGCCAAATCATGGCGAGCCGCTTGTAGGCCTTCTTCAGGTCGTCCTCGCTCGCGTTCCGATTAACTTTCAGTATGTTGTAGTAGTCCACCCCCATTGCCGCCGCTGCTATTCGGATTCGGGTTTTCGAATTTTAATTTTCGAACTTTCTGTGGTGCGTTTTCTGGATTTCGTTATTTTCCGTTAAGATTTGGGAAGAGTACCCGCCGGGGACGATATCATGGAGAGTATAAGGTGGGTCCCAATTAATTAAGAGGAAATGGTTTAATAATGATTAATTAATTTAAATAATTGTGTTAATAAGCTTTTTGTTAAAAAAAAATTAAAAAATTGTACCTACTCCCGAAATAAATATTTTAAGATGAATTTGAAATGATTAGAGATGATATTGTAATGTGTGTATCTCAATTTGTGGTTGACAATGATATGATATTGTAATATATCTTTGAACCACGACAAGTTGTCCAAAAATGCGGCTAGCAGTTTTTTAAAATAAATAACTGAAGGCCTTCGATTCAACACTTTATAAATTGTGAATTTGTTTGATTGTGGTCATATGTAGTGTGCAGCTCCCACTAGCCTCATCTAGGTCTAAAATGGATGGATAAACGTAGTTCGCCACCGATTGTTTTATTTTTGAAAATATCTTGGTTATCTTTTTTGGTCTCGGCACATAGTTATCGTCATCCACGAGACAAAAATATGCAAGAATTAAAATACTTAGTGGACAAGAATCCTATTTAAAAACTAAAATAATCATCAATAATAAATAAGTCAATCAAATAATATTTTTGAATTACACCTCTATTATAACTTCTTTAAAATTATAAAATCAATTTGTTCTCGCTGATATAACTTTAAAGAGATTTGATTGTTTATGGATTAATACACAAAAAATAAAAATATGATATTGTGATAGTGTTGGACTAGCTCTTAGTTAATGTGCAAAATAAACCGTGTATTTTAAAAATAATGTTATTCATTCAATTCGATGATAGAGAATTAAAAGAATCGCGTGAAAAATATAAATAAATGCGTAGATTGTGCCATCCTATTTTAAACATAGTAAGTATGAAAAAAAAAAACAATATAATGGTTTTTACTTTTCAAACATAATTCTTTATAAATAAATAAAAAAACATAATTAATAAATCCATAAAAAAATGGTCTTGAGCTGAGCTGAGTGGAGCCCTTACAATAGTGGGGCCCCAAACAGAGTTTCCAGAGTATTATCAAGCGGTTTCTGGTGAAGATCTTTGTGATTTGGGTAGTGACTATAATTTAGAGGTGAATTAAGTACACAATATTAATATTTTAAGGGATATAATTATCTTTTTATAATCAATATTCCTACAATTTATTTGCATAACAGCCATCACTTGCATTAAAAACATATGAATACGACAAGAAGTAGGTCAAATAAATTTTACACTGTATCGGAAACACGGCCCAACATACCAAATATCATAATACAATTTATTTGCATTACAACCATCATTTGCATTAAAAACATACAAATACAACAAGAAGTAGGTCATAGAAAATTTTCAGTGTCGAAAACACGGCTCCGACACACTTATTGTCATAATACAAATGGTTGAATACTTAAAATAAAAATTTCACTTATATTATAACACTTCGTGTACAAAACCGTATTGCCGAGAAATCTCTGGTAGGGTCATTACAAAAGCCAAATTCAATGGATTAACTAATTAACGGAATATGACTTTCGTACACCTTTTGTTTGGTGTGTACATTTATAACCTTTAGATTGAATAATATAAATAAGAATCAACGCACGAAAATTAAACGTGCATAAGGGGAAAAGAGAAGTGTACAAATCATTTTCGCGGAGATGACACAGCAAATCAGGATCACTTTTAGCAAATACAAAATGAGAACACCCTCAAAGCTCATAAGGTCAATGAAGAAACAATACGCTTGCCATCCAAATTGGTAAGCAAACCATCAAACACAAAATGATGTAGGTATGACAAATATACAAGTGTAGTTGATGGGTACAACACGATCGGAGAACTACGTACTACGTATGTATACACGAGCCTCGATGATCCCGACAAACAAGCAGTCCTTGAAGCCACAAGCTAACAACCTACCGATAAGTCAAGCCAATGGAGTCCGAGAGGATTGATTGATTCGGTATCTGCCCTCAAATCTCAGTTTACAAAACCCCATCTGCCGCGATTTTCAGGTGTATCAACAGTAAAAGAGAAGTATCCCGCGGCAAGCATGCACAATCTAAATAAGAATAGGAGTTATACGGCAATGGCTTGACCAGTTAGCCCGTCGTGAAGCTGCAATGAACCATCCTTCATTAGGTTGAGGCTTAAACTCTTGAATCGCTCCCTCGAATACTGTCGAGATGCCTTTCTCCAATCAGTTCCCGTTTTCATCATCGCAACAAACTCCTCATAACTGATGCGTCCATCCTGATGGTTTGCAAAAACGAACAATAAATTATAACAAATGGGACAATCGTACAAAAATACTGGAAACGCAGGATGTAAGGAGCAAGTCCTGCATAAATATTAACAAATAAACAAGGCTCGAAAGTCAAACCTTGTCAGTGTCGACCTCACGCATAATGTCATTCAGCACCTCAATATCAGTTTCACCTGATTCATCTCGCAAACCTTCCCTTAGCTCACCTAATTCAATATATCCACTTCCATCTTTATCAAAGAACACGAATGCTCTGTGGAGATGCTCATCATTCTCCAGCTTCTGCAAGTGAATTGTTACTGCTGCAAACTCTCCGTAGTCCAGAACGCCATTCCCATCAACATCAGCCTATAGAAAGAAAAGTAACACAGAAGACATCGTTTTGTTTGTCAAATGAAAAATGAAACACAAAAACTCCGGTAATGATTTAAAACCGCAGAACTCACCACTTCCATCAACATCTTAATCTCCGGTTCAGCCAATTGTGAACCAACTTTGCGGAGCCCCAACTTCAACTCCTCATATGTTATTTTGCCATTTTTGTCAGTGTCCATCAACGTAAACATGTCTTTGATTACTTCAACTTCTTTAATAGATAAGTGTTCTGCGATCACCTACAGTATTTGATTGGAAGAAAAATAAGTCCCAAATGTTAAATACTGTGTGAATCACACATCGTTGAAATAGTAACCAATATTTCAGCTGACATAACATAAAGTAATGGTTACTGATGCTTACCCTTAGGGCCTTCTTTTTGAATCTATTCATTACTGAGAACTGCTTGAGTCTCGGCCTCACTATATCTCCTAATGGAACGTTTGGCGCTTTCTTCGCATTTTGTAGCCATGGATGTTCTGTAATCACAAAACACAAAGCAAAATTCAGTTCACTCATTTAACAAAATGCAAGTTATGTTGCAGAGCTAGTCAATCTTTTAGCAGCATAGATGTGCCAAAAAACACACAAATTTTCAGTTTCTTTCTAGTTTAAGTCGAATTCATGGCACACTGATATGCACAAAAAATGGGTTCCGCCCTTTTGGTCAAAACCGAAAACATTCTCATATAACCTTGACTGAAACTCTAAATCGAATGGGAAATACAATGGCAAGGTAGCAAGGGTAAATTAGGTTAAATTGATTTTTGCTTCAAAGGACATATTTCTGTCAATCTAGCTGCTTATTTGAATCTCTACTATTGGACCCATCTCACTGAAAAAAGCCTTCAAGTTAAGAAATCAACGAAGTGTTTATATCCCCCCAGCCAAGCCAATTTTCCAATCTAAATCAGTTAAAATCCATGTGATAGTCATAAAGTCACAAACTTTACAGTACAGCCAAACTCCAGAGGAGGAAATGAAACAAAAAACTCCAACAACAAAACAGAAACCTCGGCTTAAAAGAATAAATTAAGGTTCAAAAAACATAGATAAATGCTAGTGATTGGATATAAAACTAATAACTGGAGATTAAGGAAAGCTTCCCATCAGCAACTCTAGTTCCAGTAGCTTGCACTAATAAATAAATCAGCTGGTTCCCTGTCTTATCCTTAATTTCCGCCCTACTCACCATTAAAATGATATTATGGAAAAAAAAATACGCCTTTCACCAGTTGCATTATGATATTTTAAACCAGAATTGCTACTATACATGATCTTGTTAATACATTGTTTTCATCAATGACTTCTCTTGTTTTACATCGACATTTATTTATTGCGTAGGAGGTCTGAATTGTTTGGTGGTTACTAAGGATTTGTGAAAACGATTATAATGCCTGTTCTTGTAACACCCTATTTATAGAACAAAAACCCTTATTAAGTCGTAATGTATTTGGTAAAAAGATGAGGTGAATAATCATCCATCACACCGATTAACGCAGTGATATTGCTATCTAAATGTTGAAGCGTGAACAACTATGCAACTCTCTTGAAATTGCATCAGGTAAAGATTCAGAGACGAGACTTACCAAGCACCTCTTGTGCGGTCAAGCGTTTTCTGGGATCCGGCTCCAGCATCTGCCGAACAAGGCTTTTAGCACCGTCCGAAATCTGAGGCCAAGGTTCCCTCTTGAAATCAATCACCCCCCTCAAGATTGCAAGAGCCACACCCTGTTCAGACTCTGTTGCAAAATTTTCAACAAGGAAAACCAATGTTACAATCCCAAACCAAAATCAGAAGCGCTCAGATAACGAAAAATCAACCGGTTTTAAACATATTTCGAGAGCTGAATTCACTAGAATACCAGCCCAAAATGGAGGAACCCCACATAACAAAATGTAAAGTATCACTCCAGCGCTCCATATATCAACCTCCGGTCCATAATTTCGTTTCAAAACCTCCGGTGCCATGTAGTACGGACTGCCCACAATCTCCATAAACTTCTCCCCTAAACCCCCACACAAACAAAACCAAAATCAAAATCCACAAAATTCAGTCAAAACCCACATAAAATCAACAAATCCGTAAAAACTCAGAAACCCGAAAATCCATCAACAATTCAACAAAATCCCAGAAAAGTACCAGGCTTGAAGAACACAGAGAGCCCAAAGTCGATAGCTTTAAGAGGCGAGTGCTCCTTCTTGTTCGAGAACAGAAAGTTTTCGGGCTTCAAGTCCCTGTGCATAACCCCATTAGCATGGCACATCCTCACCACCTCCGCCACCGTCCTGGCGACGTTCGCCGCCGCCCGCTCACTGTAATGCCCTCTGGCCACAATCCTATCGAAAAGCTCGCCGCCCTCG